CCATTTTACTTGTCTGCAATTCCAGACCAGAACTCTCTGGTTGTGGATGTTCTGAGTCAGTCATGAGAGAACCTCTTTCTTTATGCCTACACTCCTCTCTGCCTTCTTCCTCAGGTGCTGGTCAAGATCGGTAATGTGAAATGCCAGGTTTTCCTCATTGCTCTACTTTGGCCAGCTAAACCTTGGTTTCTCCTTATAATGTCAACTTTCTCACAGAGTTTGGGAACATCTTCGACAAACACAAACTGTCAATTTTGCCTGCCGATGTGTGACATCTTTAGCTTCATGGCAGGCTGTTCTTAGATCCTTCGCTGGAAAATCTGAATTATTTTTAGAGTGGCTTATATATTAGCCCACTGTTGCTGATGCTTTTCTCTGATGGCCTATCTATCTTGTTGGGCTACCTTTTCTTGTCTTTCTCCAATTGCTCAAAAAATTGCTTTTTCACATTTTTGTTTAAAGATCATAGCTTCTCATATTCCATAGCTGGTCACAGAGCTACTTTATCTGTCAATCTCAGATGCTACAAAAGTCATCAATCACTTTTTGTCCTTATTGTTCAAGGACGTTTTTCAAGCCTTTCATCTTCATTGACCCCACGTTCCTGGACACTGTCCTAAATGGAACTTGGGTTTAGTTTAACATTTCTTGGCTTCTTCCTCTCCTGAGTTCTCAGTGACCTTTTAACTACATCATTTATTCCTCAAAATTTATCTTATTACTGACACCAGGCAGAAGACATTCTGATATGTATGCACTGGTTTAATCATACATTTACTTAGGATTTGTGGTGTAGCTACAAATCAGGAAAAGGAAAAGAGGGAGAGTATGTTGGTTATGTTTGTCGAAAATATCTGTTAATTACTTAATTTCTGAAAGAGTTTTTTTGAAATGGCATGACATTTCTTGTATTGTTGAGAGTGGTGTCTTTTATACCATCACTGTCACACTTACCAGCTAAGCTAAGTGTAGAGTTTTTTATCTTGTTTTTTTTTCATTCTAGTGTCCTTTGATAGCTTTGGCATGAACACATATCAACTGACCTAAATTTGAAAAGTTTATTATTTTAATGTTGTAGTATCTTTTAATTCATGCAAGTAGGAAAAGGAAATAAAATAACCTATTTTGTTTTTAACAATAATTAAAAAAATTCAAGACAAGGGGTGGCTTCTGACAGATGGCTTTCTTGTTATATGATATATTATGGCTGAACATCCTTTTGTGAATGTATGCTTGTGCTGTTTATCCAACATAGACTATCGGTGATTTTTACATTATTATCGGTATTCATGTTATACAAAAATAGTGGATTATTGCCTAGTTGTATTGAACTTTCTCAAGTTTTTCAAATAACCCGAAAAGAAACCTGTTGTTGGTTTCAGTTTTATTTTTGGTAATGTTTTTTTATGTACTTTAAGGTTCGATTTTCTTATGGTAGTCATACTGAGATTAGCCTGGCTTTAGCGAACAGCTATGAACTTGTGGAACATCTAGTGGAACAATCTTGGCACAGTATTCCTAGAGCAGATCTCGAAGTTGGGGTGAGTGAATTTTTCTGTATGTTGAAGTAAGTTAAATAATTATGAGATACATATTTTACTAAGATTATGTATATTTAGTATATTGTAGTCTAACATTTTTAAGATTTAGTTTTTAAGTAGTTTAATTTCCACAAAACAAAACAAAACATCCATATAAACACTTACTGTTACAGATTAAAAAAATATATTCGGGATACTGTTACAAATTAAAAAATTATGTGGCACCAACTCTATTGTGTATAGTGATTCTAAACACATATTTGAAACTGTTACAGATTAACAAACTAAGTGACACCAACTATAATGTGTATAGTGATTCTAAACACGTATTTGAAACTGTTACAGATAAACAAACTAAGTGACACCAACTATATTGTGTATAGTCATTCTAAACACATATTTGATACTGTTACAGGCTAAGAAAATATGTGACACCAACTGTATATTGTGTATAGTGATTCTAAACACTCACTTAATACTGTTACAGGTTAACAAACTATGTGACACCAACTATATTGTGCATAGTGATTTTGAACACCTATTTGAAACTGTTACAGGTTAACAAACTATGTGACACCAACTGTATTGTGTATAGTCATTCTAAACACATATATGATATTGTTACAGGTGAACAAACTATGTGACACCAACTGTATTGTGTATAGTCATTCTAAACACATATTTGATATTGTTACAGGTTAACAAACTATGTGACACCAACTATATTGTGTATAGTCATTCTAAACACATATTTGATATTGTTACAGGTTAACAAACTATGTGACACCAACTGTATATTGTGTATAGTGATTCTAAACACCTATTTGATACTGTTACAGGCTAAGAAAATATGTGACACCAACTGTATATTGTGTATAGTGATTCTAAACACCTATTTGATACTGTTACAGGCTAAGAAAATATGTGACACCAACTGTATATTGTGTATAGTGATTCTAAACACCTATTTGATACTGTTACAGGCTAAGAAAATATGTGACACCAA